CATAGACAAATTATAATACCTAAAAGCACTCCCCTAGTGGACCCAGTCATACCCTACCTGCCCACAGTTACCACCCAGTTAATCTGTATCAGGGATTAGGTTAAACCTCTCATAATCCAATCATTTCTCCTCTAAACATTCTTGCATTGTTTGCTTTTGGGGGATACCTCATATCTAAATCGTAATAAAATATGTCTAGAATCTGACCACATTTTGCCACCTCCACTAATCTTATTCTCTCCAAGCCTGTATACCTCTTTTATCAGTTATTAAATAATCTTCCTAACTGGTCATCCTGCATCTGTCCTTATTCCTTTTATACCATTCTCTACACATCAGCCCTAGTGAACCTGTTAGCATGTCAAATATTGTTATTTTAAAGGCAATATACCATATAAGCCATAACAAAATTCAAAGTTCTTAAGCCATAATAAAAAAAGTTTTCATAATAACCTATGAAGTCCTACTAAATTTGGCTCCATGTTTCCCATTGGCTTCAACTCTTAGTTCATTATCTAGTACCTACTGCTCTGCCATAATGGCTACTTTTCCTGGCACCCAGAAGGCATGCCTGCCCAGCTCCACTCTTGCCCTTTTCACTTTCTGCAATGGTCTTTATCCAACACCTAGAACAATGTCTGGAACATAATGGGCGAGAGTAAGGTATTGAATGTTACCAAAAATATTTAATGAGTTAATAAATTATGAATATATTAAATGACTGATTTAGATCATGGCTGAAATAAAGAATATCCTCTTTCATTTGTATGACAGACATGTAACGGCAAATTATTACACCGTTTAAATGCTAGAGTAGGAATTAGTACAATACACTCTATGAAAAAAAAAAAAGCTGTGCCTTATTTGGTCTTATAGACAGGAAAAGTCTTCTCAAAAGATGTCTTGCTTGAACGGAGACCCAAAGATTGAATAGGAACCGTCCCAGTAGAGAGAGCAGGTGGGAGAGAATGTAGTCTTCAGGGGAATTCTAGTCCTACATTAGAGGTGGAGTGGAGTGTGAAGGATAAAAGCATTAACAAATGGAGACATAAATATGGGCCTAGTTGTGAAAGGTCTTATAGACACAACTGTAGGTGAAATGTGGAAAGGGTGAAGAGTACTGAAGGAGCAAGTAACATAGCCATATGTTTTTGAAAGAGATATTAATGGATCTAATAGGGAGAATGGATTGGACCCTGGGGGAAAAAAAAGAAACCCTGAAATTAGCAACACTGGCTAAAATTTTGTTATTATATAGATGAGATAAAGGTGAACTAAACTAAAGCTCAGGAGAATACATTGGAAGACAACTGGGCTATGCTAAGTCAATGCTAAATTACTGCTACATGCAGCTATAAAGAATTTGAAAGGACAAACAAGCTCACAAACTGTGGCCTGCAGTACCACCTGGCATCTGTATTGCATGGGATTTAAGAACAGCTGCTGCTAAGCATGGACAAATTCAATTTGTGTAAACGCTTTGCACAAAACACTATCAACCTCAAAGAATTGACTGCAGGCACACAGAAAAGTATGATGTTTTACACACAATACAGCTGTACTTGGTATTCTTTTTCATTGATTCATTCAGTTACTCACACATACTTATGGAGTAGTAAGTGTAAGGTGCCCTGCTAAGGACTGTGGATGCACCATTGAACAGATAAAAAATCTCTGCCTTCAGGGAGATTATACTCTAGTGAGGAGAAATAAAAATAAGTATATATTTACTATAGAGTGTCAGATGATAATTACTGTGGAGAAAAATAAGGAAGGGATGAGGGCAGCTTAAAACTAAAAAAAGGTAATAAATGAATATACTGGTGAAGTAAGACTTGAAGGAGAAGAGAAATCAAAGCAGGCAGCATCTTAAAGCGGGATCTTACCTGGATCTTAAAGTGGAGAGAAGATTCTCACCTAATCATGATGTTTTAATACACAACAGATAACTGGTTTGAGGACCTCCTGTGTTTTAATGCTGAAAGGTGTATTTATGTCTATAAGCAGGTTAATGCCATGGCTGGTCCCAGAGGAACTGACCTGATTCTCCCTCAGACATTCCCAGTTTCTGAGAGTTTCTTAGAGACAGAGTCAGATAAGTGTCAGAGATGTAAACCTGGTCCTTTCCTGGAAGCTGAGGATCACCCCCTGGAGGTGACATATGGGAGCATCTCTAGGGCACAGCTGGGGCCTAGTCTACGTCAGCTGTGGTTTCATTTGGATATTATTATACTTCAAAATACAACAGCATGTTGAAGAGATGTCTGCATAGCCACCTTCACTGCAGTGTCATTAATAACATCCATGAAATCAATTCTATCAACAGAAGAAAGTGAATATATATGCAATGGGAGACTGTTCAGCCTTTAAAAGAAAGAAATCCTGTCATTTGCAAAAATTAGGAGAACATTATATTCAATGAAATAAACCACACAGAGACAAATCTTCATGATATATTTACATATACAGTATAAAAAAGTTGATCTCAGAGAAATATAGAGTAAAATGGCGGTCACCAGAGCCTGGAGGATGAGAGGATTAGGGAGATGTCCCTCAAAGGGAAAAAAAAGTTGTATTTTTTCCTTTGAAAATATAATATACATAAAGTAATTTTAAGTGAAATGGAAGAAGTATAAAATTAAAACAATAATCACTTATTTTCATGCAAATGTGAGAAAGTGTATGTCTGATGCTTTGACGTTCCAAATAAACCATGAATAAATGAAAGGGGGGGACATATCTTTAAATAAAAGAGAATACTTTCACGTTTTTTACTGAGAAGCTTTCCACTGTATGGATATAACATGCAGTTGCCCCTTGGAAGCCATACTCTTCCAGTGGCCATATGTTGTTCTTTGGGGTATAATCCTCTATAGACTGGGCAGAGATTGGCATGTTCTGTTACCAGATACTATATGCCTATAAATGTCATATGTATATTTGTTTCTGGAAAATGCCATGGTATACTTTTACTGGGGAAAAAATCTTCACCTGAGTCATAATAAATGACATATTTATTTGAGTAAGGAAAACAGTTGAAAGACCCTGACAAATTCGACATAAAAATATTAAGACAATAGTCCTTTACTAACTTCATTGAGAAATTTGTTTAACATCTCTGAGCCTCAAGTTTTTCACTTCCGACTATATCTCAACTTGTTACTAAGAAAGGTGACATATGTGCAAATATATTGTAACAATAAAACACCATGCAAATGAAAGGTGTTATTAATGATGAAGACAGTCCTTTAATCTTTCAAACCTGTTTTAAACTCAACTCTGAATGCTTGCATTTTCCAACTACAGGAACTCCAGTGGACCAAAAACTCTAACATTAAACTACAGTGCCCCCTAGCCTCTGTAGGAGGCAAGGCAGCTGATTGGCTTCCTGCAAAAGCTTCACCACAGATGGCTCCTTTGCCTGAGGGAAGGGCCATTAATTGTATTTTTGGATAATTTCCATCTGTCCAAAAGGGAAAACACTTATGTATTTTCTTCAGTATTTGCCTGTAACATTGTTTATTGTTTTTATTTTTAATTTTAAGAAGGAGTGAAAAAGTAAACACCCTTTACTATATTTAAATTTTCCTTTTCCATATCACTTTAAAGGAAGGACATTTCTTTATAAGAACAGCACTAGATTTCTCTCAAGATTCTCTGTGAATCTGATTTGTATTTGATTACCTATTCACATTCACCAAATTCTTTACTATACAGAGTGAGAGAAGATTATCTGTCATTGCACTCTTCTGACAGAGGGGACATAGGGGGTAAAGATTTTTTTGCAAGTTGGCACAGAAAGCTGTCATTATGAGCCTCGCCCCCCCCCCCCAGTATCAAAGCACATTAAACCCACCAACAGCTACAGAATTGCATAAAGAAACATCATTGAATATTTTAATATCAAAATGTAGAACTATTTGCTAACATGGTTTATAAAAGTCCAAATTAAAAATATCGCTTCTTTCCAAAGGCTGCAGTTCTGTATCTCCAATTCTTAATTTCATAGATGTTCATAGAAATCTTTAAGTTTGAATGGTCCAGGGGGTAAACTGAGTTCCAGAGTGATGTGTCCTTTGGAAATGGAACTTTCTGTGTGGGTTTATTTTCCATGCTGTGCTGAGTGTTAATCAGCACAGCTTCCAGGGTTTTCTTTCTAACATCCTTTTCTATGTAAGATAAGGACTGCAATTCATTATACCATTGGAGGAGCCAGAGACTTTGCTAAGCTTTGAGATGTAACCGTTTATCTCAAATTGTGTGTGTGTGTGTGTGGACTCATACACATACTATACATACTATATTCGTGCTAGTCTTGAATTATGGCATAATCTTGGTTGCCTTTGAAGCTAAATGTTTCTTCCACTTAAGGGTTCAAAGATCAATTCAGCCTCAGTGTGCTTTACAGTTCCTATTAAGAGAGGCAGAAAATGTGTTTTGGGAAACTGGGAGGTGATTTTTAATACCAGTTATTTTTCTTTACATCTGTGGATCAACCTAACTCAGCAAACACTCAAGAAATTAAAAACAAAGACAAACAAACAAGAACAAACAAACAAGCAAACAAAAAGACCCCACAACTCTTCAACAGCAACTGGCTTCCTTGGTTCTGATCACTTCTAAGTCAAAACCCTTACCACCCAAGGAATGGGGTTCTTTGAGTTCATCTTATTCCTCTCCTGAATAAACATGCACAAATAACAACCATCACCAACCCTCAAGTTCTTTAGGAAAGAGAATGCAGGCACACACCACCATCCTTCTTTTCAACTTGGTAGGGGCAGCTAAATTTTGGCAAGGATGATGGCATTCGTAGGAGGGGCAAGATGAAAGTGTGTCTAATCACACGTTAATGGCAGAATTCGCCTTAACCAAGTTCCCCTCCAGTACACTGGTGAATTTCCTCTGCGTGGCTCCCCTGTGGATCCAGAGACCCTTCTCTCTTTAAGAGAGCTTCCCGCGCCCCTCACTCCGCCCCCACCCAAAGCTCTGGGCTCGCGAAAGCTTCCGGAGAGCCATGGTTGGTCCAGGCAGGCAATCGGAGCACCTCATGGAGAGGCTGCGAACCGGGGGTGGAGTGAGGTGGGGTGGGGGGGTCTGTTTGTAGTACTCTCAGTCCTGATGTCACAGGCTCGGCAAGGACATCGCAAGGAGGAGTCGGATTACAGTAAGGATGGGCAGTGCAGCAGGCAGCCCGAGCGCACGCTCCAGCCGCCGGGGACCATAGCCCTGGACAGGCAGCCCGTGAGGCGCTTATCCCGCGGAGGAGGCAAGCTGGGCGCTCACTGCTCGCCGCGCTGGGGACGTTTCCGCCGAGTGTAGCATGAAACGGCTCTGCTCTGCGTGTCAGCCTGGGGTGCGAGCTGATGCTGAAGACGCTGCGGTGGGGTTTCAGCTGTCTGATTAATGAGAAACATAATGTATTTTGGTGAGTGTTGTCTCTGATGATGCAATTCCGGGGGGTGTCAGCCTCTTCATCAGGCAGAGAATTCCTTAAAAAAAAATAAAATAAAATCTTTTAAGATGCTAGAATATGTTACATGAAACCTACCTCCACTTGGCAACTGGGGGACCATGCCGGTGCAGCTCGCAAAGCTTCCTTTGTGCTACAGTTGGGGCTGTGAGCTGTGGATGAGTTTAAGTTGGAAAAGAAAAGAGACAAGGGTGGGGGTGGATAAACTTTGCCTTGATTTGTCAGAATGAAGTTGGCTTTTTTAGCTAGGTGAGGAAGGAGAAATGGTGCAAGCCTGAGAAGTCATGGGCTAACTTAATGGAATGTGAAACAAAGTTCCTTATACTATTGATGCTGTGAATGCTTAGTCAATAGGGACATTTCATTAAGCATTTGGGTTTTTTTTTTTTTTTAAATTTTGAAGAAAACATTCTCTAGTGAGCAGTGGTTGGGTAGCTGAGAACACTCCTCCATACCATCTCAGTGCTCCCTCTGGCTAGGAGCAGCTTAGCACAAAATGCATATTATTTTAAACCTTTAGAGGTCTCCGAGCTGTTAAATATTTGTGCGGTTTAGTTTTGTGCCGCTGGTGGAAACCTCCCTTAGGTTTTCAGCTTAGCTGCTTGCATTTCCAGAAAGCATGTGGAGGCTTAGATCTGGGCTATCAGTTGAGCACTGTAAGTGGGCTGAGAGCTGTACATTTGCACTGTAACGCTTCAACTTACTGCTAGGGAAGAAGGCAAAAGCCCTTCACTAAATAAGAAGAAACCAAGGATTAAGACCGAATATCTTTTCCTCCTCCCTGAAGTTATGCTTTCCTTCTGTAAGTCCCATCCGGCGTCATCATTTAAGGGAATCTATGTGATATTAAAAGGTTTGTGAGAGCGGCTGAAGAGGGGATAGGGGAGGATTCTAAGATGCAAATGCTCTGGGTGATTTCTTGGCTTGCTTTGAATAGTAAATCTAGAGTCTGCTTTCAGATTAAAGAAATATTTAGATATCTTTGGGTTGCAGCACAGTTAGTTTGTTGGGCATTTATATCTGATTACTGTATTGTTTTGTTTTGTTGAGCCTTTGAAACATTAAAAAAAAAAAAAAAGTGTGGTAGGAACCCAAGTTGCAAAAGCTAAATGCCTTTAGTTGTCTTGACAGCAGTTTTGATTTCCCTATAATTTGTGTCATATTGAAAAAGGCATCTTAAAATAACCAACATTTGAAAGAAACAATCCTCATTTCATAGACAAATTTAAGCAGATTCCAGAATTAAACAACACCTCTTTCCAGGGAGTAGTGATGAAAGCAGTAAGCTGGTTTATTGGCAATTAATAGAACAGCATCTATCATGCATTTATTTTTGATAAATGGAAACGCTTATAAAGGTGTCTTTTGGACAAAATAAAATTTTAGCATCTGTAATGATATTGAGGAGTGATACAGATTATAATTTTAGTGTCAGTTTCCAAGCGCTCACAAAAATTCCTGATGTGATTGTAGTGAGGAAGTAGGGCTAACCAGAGAAGCAGTAGAGTCTACAAGTAGTGGTCAGAGGCCATCTATGCTTTATTGGATTATGGTGTGGCTCCTGGAGAAATGTTCCCTGGGCTAGCCCATGTTATTCACTGTATGCTAGTCCAGCTGTCTTATAAAGCAGGGTGATTCACAGGGTAATTAGTTTCATTGTGTAATGCAAGTTTTTAATAGTTCAGATTGAAATGCAATGTCCTACATACTCCAGATGAAAATATACTCTTGGAAAGGCAAGGCTAAAGTTGCCCTCTGTGTCATGAATATGGTTCAGTCTCACCATGATTCCAGCATGAGAAAATGTTTTCCTGTTCCTGGAGGAGATCATGGATATTCAGGAAGGCTGTTTTTTTCAGGTTATGCTGTGCAGTCCCTCACTCAAGCTCTTAGACATCTCCAACTTGGGAGCCCAACTGTCTCTAATAAAATGTGTGGTACATGAGCTAGGGCAAGAGGAATTGAGCAGAACATGTTAAAATTCAACGGCATTCTGATGTTTGCAAACCCCTAAGACTGTGTACACATACTTGTGCACGTGTGCATGCATACATATATATGTGTGTATATAAGTCCATCTATGTGCATGTATGTGTATATGTAAAATTTCATCTGTTTCGGGTGATTTTTTTTTTTTACACTAATGCTTTCACTTTGTAAATTGGTTGAACATAGTTTCTTCATTTTTCAAGTGCAAGTGGTTTATCAAGTCAGGGGGAGTCTGGACAAAGACAAAGTGGTACTGCATACTACTTGGGCTTTTCTGGTGATTTGTGGGAATGGGTAGACACGTCAGAAGTCTTTTATTTGTGTCTCTGGCAGGGAGTGATGAAAAGCATAGCAATGCTATGGTACTAGGTGAATTGATATGAAAAAAGAATATTTACTTCCCTTATAAATAATCTGATTTGTTAGGTCGTGCCCCCTTCAGATATAACTGAGGAATCTTTGCCTGAAGGGGCTGGCTCAGGCTATCTGCTTCTCTTTTACCCTGTGCTTCCTAAGGGACTGGTCACTTAGACCCTGACCTATCTCAGTTGGAGTCAGTCGTATGTGTGCAAGTTGGTGGAATGCGTGCTGTTTCCAGTTCTTCAGAACAGCTAGTGTTTGGAGTGTGCTGTTTCACACTTACAAGACTAATGGACCCTCTTAATGACTTAAGCCTCACTCTTATCTCCTATTGAGATTTTAGTGCAGTGTTTTCAATAATTGTTCATTTGCACTTACTGCGCGGTGATTTAAGAGTTTGCTGTTCAGTCACCGTGGGTACTTTTGTTACTTATTCTATCGATCTGGCATTCATTACTTACGAGTTAAATGTAGGGTTCACAGGAAAGAAAAGGAGCCCGGAAAATCCTAATCAGCAATCCGAGTGGGTTTTGCTGGAAAAAAGCAAGGGAGAAATAACAAATACAGAGGAAGTTACCCTCCCCACCCCTATAAATATTTTACATAGTTAAAAATTACATGTGTGAAGGATGAATAGGCATTAATAATTTATTCAGAAATAAAAGCAAGGCAGCTGGGAGATGTCTCCCAAGATTGAGGAAGAGAGACTGTGGGGGGTTGTCCATGTAACAGACAGAGCACCAGGTTGAAGTTGGGTTAAAAGGAAGATGCTGGCTTCACGGGCAGGTCTTTGCTTGAATGCATCTCATAACCACTCAGTGTCTGGCAGAAGATTCTAACTGTGCACCGTCTTCCGCTCTAAGCACCGCATGTCTCTGTCTTGTCCCCCTTCCTGTCTGGCCTGACTCCTTTCTTTACTGCTAGAGTGGTCACGCCAACCACACAAGTTGTCTCTGGTTGGCCAGAAAGGTGCCACTCCAGCTCTTTACCATCAGGAAAGAAAAAGGGAGGGATTGCTCCTAGGTAATTCTGTGTGGCCAAAAATCAGTACATTTTCAGGCAGGAGACAGCCAGATGGAGCCTCTGGGGAGCTTGCAGCCCAGGGGTGGCTGGGGCTGGCTCCAGGAGAATACTCCTAAAAGTTGAAATGATGTACCTCATACAAATTAGCAGAACTGAGAGACAAATATTAGTGCACACTATAAATGTTACTATTAATAGCATATTAATTAAACCTAGAGAAAAGGGCAAGCAAAATTTAGAAAGTGTGAATAAGCCATTCCCATTCAACTTGGTGTTCATTGTGGATCAGCTGTCTCCTTTAAAATGCCTAAGAAAAGTAGGAAAAATACTTGGAGGCATGCCTATCAGAATTAAAAAAAATACTTCATTGAGGAAGCTTTTATTAATACAATAACTAGGAAAATTCTAATAGACATGTTTGTACAGTGTCAGGAAGGACTTTTCCTTTTCTCCTGGGATGCTTAGAACATCCTCAAGTCATTTACACTTTTGGTTGTGGCTGGACCATCAAATTTCACCTCCAAAGCAGTTTGTTAGAAACAAACAGTTTAGTGGCAAGTTTTTGAGGAAGGAAATAATCAGAAAACAGCAGGCAAACTGAAAAAAAAAACAAAAAACATTCCTCTTTTTTAGTGTGTTCAGTAGAAACATTTAACTCCTTCTAATTAGTTTGTAGTGAGCGATCTGTTGTAGGGAATTAGGTCCCCTAGAGTCTTTCTATGCATCTAGGAACTGTTCCTGTCTTCCCTGAGCCTGATAGGGGGAGAGAATAATTGAGGAAGGAACTGGTGTGTACAATACCCTTTTTAAACTTGGGAGTTATTACCATTATGTTTTATCACAAATCAATCTCAGTGACATGCAATAAATTAGGATGTAAATACTGTTAGGAAGGGTCATGCACAGGAACCTGAAATCTAAGAGAACTTTGAAACCATAAAGATTTCTCCTTTAAGACATTTCTCTTTAAATTCATATAAAGTTCCCATTTGAAGAAGCCAAATTTCAAATTTGATTACTATGCCAGTAACTCAGATTTCTTAATACAGCCTCAAATTTTGAGCTAATTTTTTTCCTTCCCTCCCTCCCTCCTGCCCACCCCCCCTC